AACGAACGTATCAATTTATTGCGATCCATCCACGAGAAATGAAAAGATTAGACTAGTTCTTGTGAACGGGAGAGAGAGAGAGAGAGAAAGAGAGAAAGAAACTATAATTCGTACACTGGTTTCTCCATATGTCGGATGGATTCTCCAATCCGGAAAAAATTGAAAATCGAAGGAGGATCGTTTCTTCGACGACGACACGACAGACAATCGTTCCCTCATTGCTCCTATTCTCGTCAACTTCCGCTCGCGTAATCCCCTCCCCGCGTAAGAAGATTAAAAGTTCCGTTAGAAGTGGAACGATCAACGCCGACTTTCCTTTTCAATTTTCCGAAACGAGAGAGCCGCGTTGGCGCGAAGGTGTTTGCCCTCCTTCCTCCCTCCCTTCCCCCCCCTCCTTCTCCGTGTACTTTTCGCATTCAGAGGGAACGGGGGGAGGAAAAGTTGTTGGCGTATCGATTCGCGGGCGACGTCGACGTCGAGTATTGGCACACGGGACGGTCATCGAACTTGGAAAGGAAGTTCTGGCGAAACGGAGCGACGACACGCCGCGATGCTCTCTGTCCACGAGAGAGAGAGAGAGAAAAAGAGAGAGTGAGAGAGTGAGAGAGAGTAGTGGCAACCTTCGTGTGGTGCTTTTTATTCGCGTTCCACCTGTCGCATTGTATCCGAGGTGGCGTGAACGGACGAAACGCGTGGCGCGAGACAAAATGCGATTGGCACCTAGGAGGAGGAGAAGAATATCCTCTTCCCCCTCCCTTTCCCCTCCTATCCCCCTGCTCCCGCGACGAGGAGCGCGGACGAGGCAAAAAAGGAGACGACCGACGACCGCCACAGGCTTTTTCACTCGTGGCGGATGAAAGTAGCTTTTCGAGCGCCAATCGTGCGACACGGATATTCGATTTCCATTCGGGGGAAGGAAAGGGACACCTGCCCGATTCCCACGTCCTCCCAAAACGCATCGCGTTCTCTCACTATCGCGCTACCCTAATCGATCCTTCTCTCCTCCTACGATTGATCGACTTCCACGAAACGTCGAACGTTCCTTTTTTTTTTTTTTCTCGTTTACGCGTTCGTCGATAGAGTTTGGGGAGGGGAGAGAAATCGGGAAGCGGGATAAAAATTGCGGTGAACTGTGCACACGCGATTGGGCGGAAAGATATGCGAGCGAGCGAGCGATCGTAGGATGAATTTCATCGGGGCCATTAGGAATGAAATCAAAGCCCGTAGAAACTACCGAGACGCCTTCCGCGGCGAATGAAACCGGTTTTTAACCGTCCGCCCGATCTTTTAGCCACCGTTGGCGCGCGTATGTTGGCCGCACGTTATTCACTCGCCGAGAGCCAATCGGATCCAATGCGTGTACCGTTGCACGTGCAACTCCATCCGTGACATATTTTAAGACGGAGAAGCTCGTTGTATCTCGTCACTCGCCGCATAAATTTCTACCGTCCCGCCCCTCTGCCTCCGACAAATCGCTCCCTTGGCCCCTCCCTGTCTAAATAAATAATCCGAGTGAAATCTCGAGATTTTCCAGCATCAAGGAAAAATCCCCAAAAATCGAAACAAAATGAGTTGGGGGACAAAAAGCAGGCGAGGTTGAAAGTTTTCCTCGCTCGCTCTCCCTCCTCCTCTTCCTTCCTTGCTTGCCCTTAACCTCTGCGCGCACACAGCCCTGTTTCTCCTTTCTTTCTCCTCCCCTCCCCGAGGGTTGAGTCACGCGAGCCGAACGAAACTCCCCGACCACCCCCAGTTTACCCACCCTCCCTCGCGTCGTTAATTAATATAAAAAGGGGCTAGCTAGTATGTGTGTGTGTGTGTGTGTGTGTGTGTGCTTTTAACGCCCACTTTCAACGAAAGAGAACGTCCTTTCGATTTGATAATTGAAGTTACGAATAAACTTGTTCTTCGACGATTTATCGTTCAAAATAAAATTTTTTTTATATAAAAAGCTGATCAACGATAATATAGGTTACGAGTAAATGTTACTCGAGTATTTTTAACAAACGATTGATTAAAGTTAAGTTTAATTTTTATCTAAATTTTACTTTTTCAACGCTCTGCGTTTCCTTCGATTTTTCATCCGATAATCGCGCAAGTACCGATTATCATTTCGAACGTGCGAGTCGACTCGTTCGTTAGCAGTCGTCGAGGGGGAAAGACTTGCCTCGCTTCTCTAAAGAAGAATTTTTCAATTCGATCGCACATCTTCGCGTCCTCGAGAGATCGGTTTCACGTTGATCCGATCGGTTCCGATTCCTCGATTTCCACCCGTTGTTACGTAAACGCGCGTGATAAATAATCGATGAATCACGCGAGCCTTGGATTTTTTTCAAGTCGCGATCGAAGGATCAAAATTGGATTAGCTTTGGACACGCACGGCGGGCCGTAGATAAGATTGGAAAATATCGCGCGTATGGGAGAAATGTGGGAGTGTGCGTGGAGGAAACGCAGTCATATCGACGACGACATGCTGCGGGTCTTTCTGTTTCATTCCTTTGTTTACGATCGGTTTGTTCGGCGGTTTCGAATCGAAAACAGCTGTTGCGATGTCGACGAGGTCCGATTGATTATGCAAATTTATATTTTATCATCGAACACGTTGCGTCTTCGATAAATAAATACGACGCGTGTTATATTATTTTTAGCGCGGGCTAAATAAATGTTTATCGCGCGTAACAAGCTCCGCGAGAGGGAACACAAAACGGTTTTCTCCACGATATCATTGAGCTAATATTTAATCTTGGCGGAGCGAAAAGAAACGACGTTTTTTTTTTTTCACGCTCCAACTTTATCTCGAATATCGTTTGCCACTGGATGAACTTGGGATTAAAGGGAAGAGGAAACGCAAATTCTTTTTTTTTTTTTTTTTTTTTTTTCTAACGTTATTTTATCTCGAACATCGTTTGCCCAAGCGGATGAACAACTTGGGATTAAAGTGCAAGAGGAAACGCGAATCCGATCGTTTATCGTTGGCGATGGAATCGAGGATAAATCGACGACGATGACTGTTCGCGACTCGTGCATACACGTTTCAAACCGAAGCCACTTTTCGCGACAAATAACGCGGAGTGGAGGTAAGCGTATCCGGGAAGTTTGGGCCATTGAACCGAGTTACCAGCAGAGTACAATGAGCGACAGAAGCGTGGACGACTGTCGACCAGCCCCATTACCGATTTCTCCGACAGATATGTCTCATTTCCCGTAGGAAATCGAGTCGATGCTTCGTGCCCCTCGAATCGTTATAATTATCCTCTTCCTCCGTTGCCAGACTTCGACCGGTAAATTTTTCCTCGAAAAAGAATAAAGCTAGAGAGAGAGAAAGAAAGAGAGAGAGAAAATGATAATTTGGATCGATAAACGTATACGAATATACTCATACACTCCCATAACCAACCGCAAAACGCTCGTAGTCGTGTGTAAAAAAAGATCGGTGCAGGTAGCAGCTACGAAAATGTTTGGCCATTACTTAAAGAACGTTCGTTCGACCTTCTACGTTACGAATAAACGAAGCAGAAATGACGTGGAACTGGTCTATATGAAATACATAGGATATAGAGCAAGGGGCAGAGAGGGGCACGAATCGTTCTTCGTGCTGGTGTCATAACACGGTGGTGTACAATGACATCTCGCTATTACGAGCCAACGTCGCGTTACACACCACTACTTGTACATTCCTTAATGACTCGGAATGCCGACTCTCTTTCTCTCTCTCTTTCTCTTTCTGCTCGAAAGAAGTGAAAGTACCCTAGGCGATATAACAACGTTCGTGGACTATTACACGAACGAAAACGAAAAACTCGGCGAGAATCGTTTCGAATGACATCGATCATCCTCCTTCGAAAAAGCTGATCTGACGGATAGATTCGTTTATCCGTTAAGGTTCGTCCGTTGGATCGAATGTAAACAGGAATGGAGGGGGGCGTTACGAACGACTCATTCGCTCGGATCAGGGCCGTGACGGTAAAGACGACGAGGTCGATTACGTGTTCTAGAAGGACGCCAGAAGGGGAGACACGGCACGAAGGAAGGAAGGAGCCAAGGGGGAATATAATTCAGCGACTCGGAAGCCGGTTTTCCATAGGCAACCTCTATCTCGCGAAACTACTCGCGAACCGACGAGCGAGAAGGATGAGTCACGGCTGTGTTGTCGCCGGCCATCCCGTATCACCGTCTCTTTCCCTCTTTTCGCGATCGCGCCACGCGAAAGACGGAGAGAAAAAAGAACGAAGGAGGAGGAGGTTAGTCCCTCGAGAGATCGCCTACGCGCGAAAAATGAAGAAAGAGATAGAGATTGAAAAATCTACCCTTTCGATTCGTTGTATCCTTTTTTCCCACCCCTCTCTGCGATCGAAAATAAATCGAAATATTCGATTCGATCTCTCCGGGCGAATTCGTTCCGCTTTTAGCCATTTATCATTAATTTTTTTTTTTTTTTCGTTAGTAAAGTAAATAAGATTCGATAATCGCGAAGGGAGCTCGAGATTTATTGAACGTCTCGAGGCCAATTAAAACACCGATCGAAGTTTCCGATCCGTGACGGTTATCGCGCCGCGTTCCCGATCGACCCTGCACCACGACGACGACGACGACGATTGCTTCAAGATCGAAGAGAGTCGGTTGCTCCCCCCTTCTATATATATATATATAGCTATTTCTACGTAACATCGGGGTTCGGTAATCGGTCGGCTGATCGATCGATCGGCGGCTTCGTAAGTTCATTGCTGGGTCGGGACATTCATGGGTGCAATTGCACGGGCTAAATGAACCGCTTAGACATGGAAGCAACAGTTGGACGATCTCCATATTCCGGCGCCGCCGACCGGACAAATTGAATGTATTTATCGATTCTAGCGACGTCGCTCTCGAAGTGGGACGAGGAACAAGAGACTCTTCGATGTTTCTTCATCGATTGACGTTATTCCACGGATAAGGCAGGGGAGAGAGAAAAAGGGGGAGGATTGGGAAAATAATATCACGATGAAGTGAGATGGTTTACTCACCTCTGCGAGAGGTTCCTCCTTGGTGACGTCTCCATTCTTGGGCGCCTCTTCGCGGGCAGGCTTGTTCTTATCCTTCTTGCTGAAGCTGATCGACCTGAAGGACCACTTTTTCTTCATCTATGAACGAGGAAATACGGTATCGATAATGATCGAATGATCTCATTACGCGTGGCTACGTGCCTTATTTTTCTAATTCGCGCGACACAACACAATCCGCATTTTTTTTCAATTCATCCATCGCGCGTTCGTTGGAAACTTTTTTTTTTATTTTTGTTTGTTTACACACCTTCCCCTCTCTCTCTTGATCACGCGCGCACAGATTAAAGCAGCAGATTGGAAAAGGGAGGGGAGGGAAAATACGGACATCTCACCTTTTCCTTCTTCTTCGTTTCCTTATTGTCTGGAGAAGTGGCAGTGTTGGGAGTGGACGCTTCTGTCGGCGTTGTGACCTCTGCCGTTTCCGCGGGAGATTCTCCGCCCGACTCTTGCTTCGTTTCCTTTACCTCTTCTTGCTGGAACAAACGGGAAGCAACAAAATTTGTGGATGATCGAACCGTGTTCTCTCTCTTTTTCACACGCGCTCACCTTATTCTGGAATAAAGGAAAGATTGGAAACATTGGGTTATCTCGTATATAACGCGCGCGCCTCTCCTTCATTTTACGCTACATAAATTTAACAATCGCGCGTACGTACGTACGTGATCGAATACATTTTTTCTTTTATAGGTGCAACGCGATATTCGCGCAAATTACTCTTTTTAACGGTTGGACGGAGAACAAAGCCGGAATAAAATACGAGTTGGAAGTAGATCCATAAAAATTAGCGAGCTCCGTGGAATTTCGTCATTTGTCACGGTTGTGCGAACCGCGGCCGAAACGATTGCATCACCGCGTGCCGCGCGATTCGATTTTTTCCCCGCCCGTATAATCCTATCTCTCTTTCTCTCTCTCTCTGGCTGTTGGCTATCTCGAGACGGCTAAAATGGAGGAGAAAAATCGGGAGGGGGGTTCACGGGTGGATCGACGGGGGCGCGCTCTGGCGGTCGCGAGATTTATCTCTGCGAGTGAGACAGTTGCGGTTACGACGTATAATACGCGGGACGAAACCGCGAAAATCTCGAATTACGAAGAAGGATCTCAGAGGTTCTCCGATCGGCCAATTATACGCAAACGGGATTGTAACAAATTCGACTCGTAACTTCCATCTTTTCCCGTGTTAAAAATCGAAATAACAATCGAAGCGAGCGTAAAGCTACGTGAAGTCGGTTCGAATGGAGAACGAGATATATGTATATATATGTATATATATTTTCAACGATCACGATTCCAATCGAACGGAATACGACGAACCGGGCATTGTTTGCCACGTTGTTCGTCGAAGGCCGGGGCTCGTCTTTGCCGTGCTCCGATACCGTAAACACTAGCCGGCTTTATTATCGATGCAAATCCTCCGGAACAATTCCACTTGACCGTTTACACGTTTCATGTACTACTAATAAACGAGTTAACTCGAGATTGATAATCGAAGAAGGCAGGAGGGTATACGAGAGTATTCTTGTCATCTATCGAGATCGATATAATCGAGATCGAGGCATACGCGATTATTGGATGGAAAAATTGGAAGGAAAGTTTGTGTAGAGTTGAGTAAGTTAGTTAAAAATCTCGAATGATATTTATAATCTTATTTGGCACGCTTTTCGTGTAACCTAATCTATTTGGTATTGCTTAATTATTTGTTGATTGTTATTATTATTATTATTATTATTATTATTACGTTTCGAACGATAAATTATCACGAAGTAACTTTATTCGTAACTGTTGATGATACGCGATACGTTTCGAATGCGGAAACAAAATCTTCCATGCATTTTTTCTATTATGTAAATATCCGGTTATTTTTATTGCTGCCGGCCGTGCAGGAGGACGCGCGTGTTGAATATATCCTCGTGGAACGGCGGCTGATATCGTGGAGAAAGGAAAGGAAAGGGAAGATGGCCGGGTAGGCTACGTGGCAGCAGAAACGAAGAGGCAAAACCTCGGCCTGTCGCGTTTATCGAGCTTCTGAAAATTTCCTCCTCCGGGCGAAAAAAAGGAGAAACGCGTTTCCCGGTCGAGAATTAGAGCGCGCGTATTTTTCTATATGTAGCGCGCAACGAGCAAGCATGGATTGAATATTCATCGGAAGATGCATGGGATCGCGTTATAAATAAAAGAATGTATCCGAATGATTTATGCGCGGGTTGATATGTCGAAAGGTATGTATACGTACGTACGAGGCGAGGTAAGACCTTGCACGCGCTGGCTCTATGCAAAAATTCGCGTTTGTCGATCGAACGGTATCGGCATACGAAGAAATGGCCGGTTCGAGGACACCGCGAAGGACGGGGCTCGATGCAGGTGCAGTTTTTCTGCGACGAATTCCACGTGGCTGAATCATCCAGCTAGCCTAGCTGAGCGAAATCTCCTGCTTGTTTTCGGCGAAATTCCATTTAACCGCGTTATTACGAAGTAAGTTATTACAATAACATTGCATTCGCTTCGGAAAGAAACGAGAATTTTTAACGATCGAGGATGATGGCGTGGCTTCTCGCGTACGGTGATGGAGAAAATTTAATAGTTACGAATAAAATTACTTGGATAATGGGCAAATAAGCGTCAAATGGCCAAGGTATTATACGAAAAGGGGATCGGTTATAATAACTACGAATAAATATTATTCGAGCATTTTAATAAGTAATTATTTAAAGTAAAGTTTATTTTTCAACATAAGTTACTTTTTCAACGTGAGTTGAAATGCCCAACTCTGCTCGCGTTTAATCTCGAAATTGGCGAAGATCCCTTTTCTCTAATCGCGAGAGGGACTGGTGAAAAAGTTGTGCGCACGCGCGAGCGAGAAATATCGGAAGGAGGGGGAACGGAGTGTATCGTCGGTGCGCATGCACGCATGCACGCAGCTCGTCCAGAAAAGATCCGTTGGAATTCGAATGGCACGCAGTTTTAATTAGCAGAGACAAACAGATGAGTCGCGTCTCGTATTAATTAATAAACCGAGTCGGTAGGGGGAGTGCGATGATTCACGCAGAAAGCGCTTTTCTCGAGATGCTTTCGCGCTACATAAGCCGGGCGCGTTTAAAACATCGCGTGTTCCTCGGCGATCCGCCGGCCTATCCGGCCGAATAAAACGCGCTATCGGCGTGGAATTCAGGTCACTCGGTAACTCGGCGTTACGTACACACATTTGCGAACTCTCTCCCCACCCGATAAAAAAAAAATTCCGATCGAAAGAGAAGAGGAGGACGAATCCTCCTCTGGATAACTCTGGTGGATAAAGCAAAACACCGATGGAATATCATAAACGTAAAAGAGGCAGGTGTTCGACGGCCCGGCTGCAACGCCGCACCTGTCTCTGTCTCTCTCTCTCTCTCTCTCTCTCCCTCTTCCCCCGACCCAAGATTTCTACGAGATCTCGCAAACAGATATCGCGAGAGAAGATTTTGCAAATGTTCACGCGCAACTTGGGGACAGTTAGGTATGCGGAGCGGGTAGGTAATAGGTATTTACGTTTACGATTACAGTTACAGCTCTCGACGCGAAACGGTATTTTTTCTCTCTCTTTCTCTCTTTCTCTCTCCTCTGCGAAAATTCAACCGACTTAGTTTCCACGAATCGATCCGACTGCGTAATATCCCGGCGGTAAACCGAAGGTTGGCTCGATCGATGTTGCGGGATCGATAACACGATTTACGAAGAATGAACGAGCGCGGTTTCTTTGGGGTTCGCGCGTGAAAGCGAGATTGAGAAATTGATATATCGAGTCCTATATATATGTATATATATATATTAAAAGATTTCCACGCGAAATCAACGTACGAAGGGAGAGAACACTTTCGTTCTCGCGTCGAATAAAATCGTTCCAATTTACTTGTGCCTCGTGTATGAGTCGAGTGGATCTAGGCGAACCGTTACACACCTCTGGAAAGATCGTTATCCTGCTTTCGTTAAGTGGCACAATGGGCGTTCTCCGCGTGTAAAAATACACTTTTCCAGGAAATTGAATGCACGCCTTTCTCGAAACGATTTTATCGCGTAACTCGCTCGGTCTGGAAACGCGCTCGCGATCGATAACGTCTCAACTATTATTCTCGAAACAAACGAATTATATTAGAAGGATGATGATCGTCGAGAGGCGTGAAAAAAAAAAAAAAAAAAATAACCAGAATAGCCAGAATTTCTTTTCCCCGATTGTTCGAGTGTTCGAACGGGGGGGAAAAAAAAATGGAAGAAAGAAGAGCGATCTTCGCGCTCGTTCCATCTCTGTCCCAACGTGCTCGTTACCGTATCTAGCGCATGACAGCTGTCGGGGTTGCTCAATCGAGGAAATATCAAGTTTCGTCTAGCTTGGAGCATTTCGCGATATACAGTGACATGCTTATGCGATTCGACGAGAGCGACAGTTGAAACTTTCGATGGTATGAGAGAGAGAAGCCATCATCGTTGTTGCCCGTCTGTCGTTGACAGCGCCGATTCCTAGAGTTTTTTAAATCTCCGATTTAACCCTTTGCACTCCGGGCGAACCAACAAAACTCCACGCGATTTCTCGCGCTCGCGTTCGGGAATGAATTTCTTAGCTAAGTTAAAATGATTTCACGCACAAATTGACGTATAAAACTTTTGTATTTTAATATTTCTATCTATCTTTATAAAGAAAAATAATTTATCGAATATTAAAAATCTATGTTGTGTGATATTTTATTAATAAAGTAATTACTAAGAAGCATCCTCGGTTTGTCAAGGCACATATTACAATAAAATATCGTTAGAATAATATACTCTCATTTATTATCTGTTATATTTATTTTTCATCTTCTTATACTATATCTCTATTTTTATCACTATTTTCCTTCTTTCTATCGTCAATTTCTTAATGAATAGAAATAATTTCGTTATTTAATTATAATAAATCAAACTCATTTCCACTTGAACTAATTTCATTACAGTATTCCATACTTACAATATTCAGAAACTTTGAAAATAATATTTTTATCGACTATATGTCTAACATCGAATATTTAATTCGATTCGCGATCACGCGTCTAATTTCAGATAAAAAAAATCTATTCGATAATATATTATTCTACACTTTATAAGTTTACATTTAAAGGAATCTTAGGAATCATGAAGCGATATTTAAGAAAAATCAAACATAAATAAATATTGCCGCCGTTCGAATTGCTCCATCGATCCAAATGGCGGAGAAGAATCACGCTCTGGAGTTATCGCATTAGACACCGAGTGATGCCTGAGAGTCGCCATTGAAGCGCAGAGGGTTAATTCTCGTCGAAATCGATATACACACGCAACGAGAAATCCTCGTGAATCGATCAGATTTAATAATCAAGTTTAACAGATTACGTTCCAGGGAAAAAGAGTTAGAGAGAGAGAAAAATAGTGGATGATTCATCGATTCGATTTTCGATCGATTCGTTACTTCGATAAAACTTGTTTCGAGGAAACTTGTCACCGGAGAAGAAGAGAAAGATATCGAGGAGTAGAGAGAATTTGTTCGAGCACAAAAAGGGAGAAGGAGAAACATACCTGCTCTTTGTCCTTCTCTTTTTCCGTGGCGTCGTCTTTATCTTTGTCCTTATCCTCGGGAACGTCCGTGTGCGGCGCTATACCATTGGTGGTGGGCTTGGTGTCGGCCTCCTCGATCCTTTCCAGCTTGCCGTCGCCAGGTGCGGCAGCATCCCCGACACCACCGTCGGCGGGCAACCCCTCCTTCTTCGGAGTCGTCGTTATATCCACGGACCTTCTGCTCTGTCTCGCTCCCATCTTTCCTCTTTTTACCTCTCTAGCTCGCCTGTCCCTCTCGCTCGCGCTCTCCGGATGCTATGATCAGGTGTCGTGCGTCCGATAAAACTGACCTGCAATCGAAAGTGGCGAAAGTGAGGAGCTGCAGCTATCGAGAGATTGCCGTTTCTTGCCTCTCTTTACGCCGAGGCAAAGAAAAAAGTAAGACGAACGAACGTCGGTCCCCTATTTTCCATCGAAGGAGAAAGATAATCGCGTACAGGTGCGCCCTCGCTGGCCTAGTACAGAGATGTCTCGCGATCGGCGCAGGCGCAGGAGAAGCTTTTTCGCTACCGTACACGGGACGCCGCACGGCTCGTGAAAGAAGAAATCGCGAGGCGCGCCGGTGATAATGAATAATATATGAACTCGCCGCGCGAAAGACAAAGAAAAACAGAGATAGGATAGTATTATTGCCAACGTTTGAAGGAATTCTCCAAGGAATCGAGGAGCATCGAGAGAGAGAAATATGTGCTAGAGAACGAATTGCAATTTGCTCTGTGCCTTTTTTTTTTTTTGTCGGCCTCCTCGATCCTTTCCAGCTTGCCGTCGCCAGGTGCGGCAGCATCCCCGACACCACCGTCGGCGGGCAACCCCTCCTTCTTCGGAGTCGTCGTTATATCCACGGACCTTCTGCTCTGTCTCGCTCCCATCTTTCCTCTTTTTACCTCTCTAGCTCGCCTGTCCCTCTCGCTCGCGCTCTCCGGATGCTATGATCAGGTGTCGTGCGTCCGATAAAACTGACCTGCAATCGAAAGTGGCGAAAGTGAGGAGCTGCAGCTATCGAGAGATTGCCGTTTCTTGCCTCTCTTTACGCCGAGGCAAAGAAAAAAGTAAGACGAACGAACGTCGGTCCCCTATTTTCCATCGAAGGAGAAAGATAATCGCGTACAGGTGCGCCCTCGCTGGCCTAGTACAGAGATGTCTCGCGATCGGCGCAGGCGCAGGAGAAGCTTTTTCGCTACCGTACACGGGACGCCGCACGGCTCGTGAAAGAAAGAAATCGCGAGGCGCGCCGGTGATAATGAATAATATATGAACTCGCCGCGCGAAAGACAAAGAAAAACAGAGATAGGATAGTATTATTGCCAACGTTTGAAGGAATTCTCCAAGGAATCGAGGAGCATCGAGAGAGAGAAATATGTGCTAGAGAACGAATTGCAATTTGCTCTGTGCCTTTATTTTTTTTTTTTTTTTTTTTTACCAATTGCGTTCGATTCGCGTTGGAAAGAAAAATGAAAGAAGAAACGGCATCTCTCTCTCTCTCTCTCTAATTATCTTCGTAAATAATAAATGGTTAAAAAGTCGGTTAACGGTTTCGAGGTCGGCCCGATGCTTCTTTCACGGCGAAAGAGGAAGCGATCCGTTGTATTCGAACCGCAAAAAAACTGGTACGGCGAGGCAAAGTCGAACAGCAGATCAGATGTATTCGCGCACCACCTAGATCTACCACCTAAAGAGCACGTGGCGTGGCTACGCGCCGCCTCGTATCTACGACGCGTAACGCATCTTCTCGCTAATATCATCGACGAAAAAAATGCCCGAGATATCTCTCCAATCCAGGCGAGGATTTTTTCTTTTCCCAAATTTCAAGACTTTCCGCCATTTTTCTTTTCATCGATCGAGAACTCACCGAGTAGTATCGAGGTATGGTCTGCCTTCGACGATTTAAAAATATCGTCGAAACAAGAGAGGATAGAATCGATCGTCAACGATAAACGATATTTCGAGGTTTTTCCAAAAGCTAAGGTAACAACAACAACAACAACAACACGACAGGAACGCGCGCTTTGTCACTGAATAATAGCATTTGTCTCTGGCCAGCCTATTCGCGGTGCATTGCACTTTCCACTCGTGGCGCTCTACCACGCTTGCGCTAATGCGTTACGAGCTATCGTCTTTTACGTACCGGGTGGCTATACTCGAAAGTTTCGTTCGAGTGAAAAATTCGGATGTGAACGAGCCGACTATATTTTGAGACCCTATAAAATTTTTCTTTCGGTCGAAAATGGTGGTACACGTGTAGCGTATATTATTAATAGGGGGGAGGGAGAGAGAGAGGAAAGTTGGACAAATATTCGTCTCTGTCGAGCACGTGCACTTATGAGGATAAAAAAATAGATTTAATACGGACGAAGATCGAAAGTGTGGCGAGGCGAAAACACGTGTGTTTCGACTACGTGGTAGAAGTTCGTGGGAAGAGCGGAATCATCATCCCACAGGAAAAATAGCTTTCCTTTCCTCTCGTAACTCGCTCTCCTACCTACGATTTATCTCTCGCTGACGTTCCTATATTTAGTATATCGACGGCCACGAACGACGGCAACGAGAGATAAGAAGCAACCAGCGACTCCGTCTCGTTCGATCGCTGCAAAGAATTACCGCTCGTATCCGTCTTCTCTTACCCGTATTTCAACTCGAGCAGCAACGAAGATCGTCGTTAAATCCATTTTTCATTATTCTTCACGAATTAAAAGCAAATAAGAGAAATTTCTTTTTCGCGAAATCCACTTTTTTCCCTCGAAATTTTTGTACACACATTCTTGATTCGAAGCATCTCTTTATTGGCGTTTAAAACTATATTAAAATTACAGAAATCGTAAATTTACTTTTACGCGCGTTCGGAATCGCTTAGCGACAAAATGGGAGAGCATGTCACATTCCATTCTTTATCGAAGAATAACGTTGCCGCTTGACTCACCGCTTTACGATTTGCCGCTATCTCGAACCTCTTGTCCCGTTCGAGAGCAAAGTTAAGCCAAATGGTACGAGTAAATAAGTATCTGATCCGTGACAACCGATTTACGAATCCAGTTTGCTCAGTTCGAGATCTTCGAGAAATCCCCCGTTTCTCCTTATCGTAAATTTCGTTCGAGAAGAATCGCGTCACAACGATCGAGAAACGGGCGGAATAACGACGACCGTTTTGCCTTCAACCGGTCCACTAATTATCTATTCAAACGAACGATACAAATAAAACACGTACCGAGATTTCTTTCTGCGGATCCGCTCAATGGATTAATAAGGGCATTCAGAGGTCACTGCCGTCGAAGACTATTAAGGCTTGAACGACGATGTCACGTCAAGATCACCGCGGACGTATGTATGAGAAACTAAATTCCAGCGATACAATATAACGCGTATATATATATATATATACATACATGCGACGATTATGCGATTTTCCGGTTGAGATCGGACAATGAGATTATTTATAAAACGACGCTCGAAGCAGCTCGAGATTAAGCGCTGAAAAATATCGAATTCCCGAGAAAAGATAACACGAAATTTTCAACGTATTTGCTCGATGACTCAGGGAACGTCGTTCGTAGCACGAAGGTTTAAACGATTAATCACCACCGATCGACGAGCGCACTTTCACGAATCGTTGAAGATAAAATAGGCGTTAAAAGCCGAGCTAGATTCGGAAACGCGAATGTATTAATCCGCGTTAAATATCCTATTGAATGAAGAACCGAAGGGATCGAAAGTTTGCACGTTACGAACGAGTTCTACGAATACGACGCGAAGAACACGGTCGAACGTGACACTGGATCGAAGCACACGCGCATCCAACCGTGTTGAATCATTAGCGGTTAAACCGTATCCTACGCTGTATCGGCGGAGGGAAAAGGAGAGAAGTAAAAATATTTTTCCCTGGTCGCAGCGCGGTATGCGTACGAGAGCACCCTCTTCTTTCCGTAACTCGATTCCCACGAAGTAACGGGCCTCGAAAGAGAACGCCTGGTACACCTACTACACTTCGTGTGCTGCACCGATCGATCGTCCATTATTTTCACAGGACTAACGCGCCATTGATACCAATGGCGAATAATCGTGGCTGGAGAAAAAAAGGACATCTGCTCGATCCGCTCGGTTCTCGAAATTGAGAGAATTACGAGCGTGGCTGGAGAGAATGAAGCGAACGTGGCCGGCCCGTATTCAGGCGCGTGTCCCGCATGCGTGAACGGATCCGGCACGGCGCACGTGCGTGCGTACGGGACCGATGAAAACGTTGTCGTAGTAAAGGGCAGAGAAGAAAGGTTGGGGCGAGGGAGGGTGTGGGTAAAGGAAAGGTGGGGCAGGGCAGGACACAGGATACGAAGGCAGGGATCAAGTGGGCTTAAAAATACACCTATATCCGGAGTAATATGTGCGTCTATTTTTGGTCGAGTCGCGCGCACCCGCGTGTTCGCCCTTCGCTTGTGTAAACACCGAGCGGATTTTGCCCGCCAACTCCCTGGAACCCGAGTCGAGAAACACTCGTATAAACACACGAGAGGAGGAGGAGGAGGAGGAGAGGGGCAATGAGCAACGTAAAAGAATCTAGAATGGGAGGGAGGGGGAGGAGAGAGTTTTCGACGTTTCGAACCATTGACCGATCTTTTCGGGAGAGAGAGAGAGAGAGAGAGAGAGAGAGAGGAGGAAGAAGAAGAAAGAAGAGAAGAAGGAGGAGGAGGAGGAGGAGGTA